GGTTTTGGGGGGAATGAAGGGGGAGGCAACTGAAGAGAGAACAAAATCTAGCAGCAGTACTTCTACAGGACAATTCTGTGATACACCCTTTTTAGAAATGCTGTACACCTCAGAAGAGTTTCCCAGAATACATTACCTGTTGAATCCAGATGGCCCACATGAAGTCAGTCAGTTGTTCCTCTGAGGTGAAAGGCCTGCATGAAAACCTCAGACACTAGTATGGCAGGACACACGAGGAACCCTGCCTGCAGGGCCTTGCATCAGGATCCTAGGAAAAATAGGAATAAGCCTTTGAAAACTCAGAAAGCCAGGTGGTTCATCAGAAAAGCCTGCCTTCCTTATTTTGTTAGTCCAAACCATTTTCTCCATCACCAGCTAGGAAGGGTTTTACTTTACCTTCGCATTAAATCCTCCCAGCTCCAGCACTTGTAAAGCAGCATCCCAACTCTCTTAGGATTAAAGCATGTCTTCTGTTCCAGACGCCTAGAGGGCTTGTCCGCAGAGCAGTTCTGCTTCATTTGGTACCTCTAACAAAGGAAAAGCATTTCTACCTTGACAGAATCACGTGTCCACACATGACACACTTTTTGTGTTACAAGGTACTTTTTTTTTATTTTTACAATTTAATGTTAAGTTTTTTTTTTGGAGTTGTTACTGAAATATACTCATCCAAATTAAACACTTGCTGTTAGCCATTTCAGTTAACTTTTTGTTTACAAAATGGAACTAAAAATGAAAACATAAACTAGAAAGTATAAACCACGTATACCCAGCCATGTATTTTTTAAATAGTTATCGATAAAAGACATTTCAAAATACCAGCTCACCACTATCCATCTTCAGAGAGGGGGTTTTTGGTCTATGGAACTGAATGGGCAACTCAAGATTAATACATGATTTTTTTTTTTAATAACACTGTGATGACGTTAAATGGAAGTTCTGCAAGGCAAACTCAACAATGTAGGTGACAGTGTGATTAAAATATATTCAGAATCTTCAGGATTAATACATAGTAATCATTAAGCCTCATATATTAAACAAATGCACGTGCAAGATAGTAAATGAAGTGACAAACATTTTTAAATAACATCTTTAATTAAAGTTTTTGCAAAGGCAAAATATTAAACTTAAAATAGGTCTTAGTACATCAAAATACTAAGTTCTCTAATTGTATTCCAAGCATGGCCTTTGAAACATAATATCCTGTATATCACAGAGGAGCAACCTTGATCTGCAATTGTACAGAATGAATTTTACAAACATAATAAATATATTTACCCCCTTACACATAACAGTATATGTACAACAGCAGTTGACAATAGTAGCTCAGAACAGCAAAAAAGGATATTCCCCCACTCCGTAATCTATTGGTACCCTATGCACTCTGGAACACGTCTCATTGGATGACTGTACATATAGCTAACCCAAAGTAGTTCTTCCTGTTAAAAAAAGCTCCTTTTGTTCCACAATGTCTAATCCACCAACTAATAATTAAAAGACACACAGCATGAACTGCCTGAAAAAAAGTAGACAACAGGGAAACCAATGGACTGGGTTTTTTTTGTTTTTTACACATTTCCCAACCAATCACAGCAATGGGAAAACACAACTGTAAATGCCAGACACCAATACATAACAATATGCAAGTTTCTTCATTTGTATAGTCACTAATCTCAGCCTGAACTCTCATTTCCATTGGGGTGTATGGGCAGGGTGGGGTGGCACACAGCAAACCTCACAACACTGTGTAAGGCAGCCCAGTATCAATCCAGTGTGCATTACCCCTAAAACCACTGCTCACTTCCTGGACATGTTACTGCGTTGCACTAGGAAGCTTCTGCTTTGGGGGAAATTGGGGAGTGGCTTTAATATTTTACAGAATCTTTTATAAATTGAAGAGATTGAATAAAAATGAACTTTAATTAACAAGCTCTTTTAACTCTCACTGGAATTAAGAACCTTTACTCTGGTAGTGTTATGTGATGACATAATTACTGCTAACTGTCAAGCAGCGGAATTATTTTCACAGACTCGAAGTTTAACACTCCAAATTGTGCAGCAGAAATAAACATTTATAAAGAAAAAAATCTGTTACATGACACAACATGTTCTTTTCTAGAAACAGTTCTTCAGAATCACGTATCATGTTCATGGAAATAAACTCGGACCACAATTATCACTTTAAATCATGTTTAAGAAACTAAATGATGTTCAAATGCAATTTGAGAGTACAATGCAGGAACAAGAGTATGAAGCCTCAAAGAAATCTTGTTGCTATCCAGCAATTGAGGGGGAATAAAAACATATTTTATTTAAATAGTCCAACATAAAAGTTCCTTATGTGATTAATTCTCTATTATCTCCTTAACAGAAAACATATTTCAATTTGTTTTCAACTTAGATGTTTTAAAATGATTGCACACACTAAACCCCAACAGAATTAAGAGCAAAAAAGTTGCTTTTCTGATTGAAGCACTGCAGGAAATTTTACTCTCTCAGGAATCAAAACAAAGTATTGTCATACTGGCAAAACAGGTATTCTCCAAACTGAAAAGGCACAACACTCCCAAGTTTGCCCAGTTGTTCTGCAAGTTCCCATCAGCCGTCATGGTTACAATTATGAAGTTATCTTTCCCATTTTTTTCATCATAAGAAGGTGCTCCATTAACTGTGCAAATTTTAACATAAGCCCTCTTGAAATCATTAACTGTTTCCATAATACTGAACTATTTAAAGGGGGGGGAGGGGAAGGGAAAATGAAACACAACCAAAAACACTATTTCTGGGGGCTGGAGTGGAAATAATCATTTATGAACTATGGTATGGGAATCCCTTGCCCTCTGAAAGGAATGGTTTCTTTGGAACCTAATGAAATGGTCTGTTCAGTTACATTGTTAAAACCACAATTAAAAATTCAAGTACAATAATAAAATTAAGCAAACTACATTCTTAGAGCAAGCTGCTACAATAAAATGAAATTAAAACATGCTTTTTGATTTAAAAAAAGGAACACTTGATGCAGCAATAAGAGCACAGTTTGGTATGTTCATGTTTGACTGGCTTTCCGAAAACTTCACAGGTTGTTTTTGAAGACAAAACTTCTCTGAAAAGCATACCACACAAATAGCTTGCAGGAGACTGTGCAAGTTCAGAAAGCTTTTAACATCCTTTAGAACAGGCTAAGCTTAAGTTACCTTTGAAGTTCTGCTATTCCTTAAAAATAAATAAAAAGGCTATGCAGCTTCTAGTATATGTATGTGAGTGAAAAAAAAAATCACTAAGATGTATGAAAATAAAGTGTTGTACAAGTAATCTGGGTTCCAGTAGTATAAAAAGGGGTCTATAGCTAAAGGCATTTTCTTCCTCTTATTGGTTTGGTTGTGCAGCATGACAGGAATTTTTCCGGAGTCCACTACTTAAGACCTACTGTTAACGAGGCAAGGGAAAGAATTAACTGGTGCAGTATTGATTTCACTGCAGCTGTATAGAAGTGTCAACAGTGGTAAAAAAATAAAGTATCTGCTCTGTTTGGAAGAAAGCAAACACCAATCAGTTTGAGATACCTTAAAGCCCCAAGCCAAAAATGCACTCTACATGATGATTCTATTACTTAAGAACGAATTAGAAGAAACATTAACTTTTCATAAAGCTTACGTGTGCAGATGGCTTACTAACAACCATATGGCTCTAGATATAGCCTACAGGCAGTTTTAGTCTGTATCAGAAGAGCACAGGTGTACAAAATCACAGGGGAAAAGAAACTCTTTACAATGTCTAGAGTTTTCTTCATACTACTGAGACTATGAATGCAGCTGAAGGTAAGTAAATCAGAGAATGAAAATCAGAGCAGTCATTATATCCTGCTAAACTACACTTTGACTTAGTTAAGTAATATTTAAAATCTCATTATCAAGCAAAAAAACCAGGTCAGAAACCATGATTCAAATGTCTGCTTCTGAAAGTCTTCCAAATTTAGTTAAAATGAACTTCACTGTGTTCTTTTCCTGCTTTTTCCGAGCACCCAATGAAACAAAAGTTTTTTTGAAATGGTGAGCCACATGAGCATCCTTCCTCACACTCTTCTGAAGTATAATGCCCATTCCCTCTCCTCGTTGAAAAGTAACTGCATTCCCAAAAGCAGAGTTCGCAAGAATAACCTATGCATGACAAAAAGGTGTTCACAAAGAAGAGAGGAATGGCGGGAGTGGGGAGCAACCTTATTGCTTTTCACAAAGTAAAACAAAACCCCACCTCTGGAAAAGGCAAGTAAAAAAGTGACTACACAAGGTTTAGTGCATCCAACTGCTTGATTTTGTTACCAAGACAGTCTAAAGACACTAACAAAATTTGTGTTCTCAAAGCTGCGAAGCTCTCCATGAAATCACATGCCACGTGGAAACTTTAGAAAGATTAACTGCTGCAGGTAACTTATGGCTATACTTTTAAGTAAAGCAGATCTTTGATTAACAGAGTTGCAGCCAGGATGTTAGAATTTTTATGCACTTTTCTATATTACAAATCTAGTCATTCTTGTGGTCTGTTGAACTATTTGTGGATGGCTGGACTATGGATGTAATAAGCAGGTGAAGGAATGCATGATATTGTGCCATTTACCTACACATTTGATTCAAAAGGTCTCCAAAGCCTTTAAAAAAAAAAAAATAAAAAATTAATCAATGGGAAGTTTATTAGTTGTTTCAGTTCAGTGATGCTGAACCACAACTAAACAGCAAGAATGTAATTAACAAGTTAAGCAATCTGACTTGCACGGCGGGGAGAGTTATGGGTGCTTTGTGTTTAAAAAAAACAGCCCTAAAAGGTGTCACATGAAACTAAAATAATTTTTAAATATAAATGATCGTTTTGTAACTGCCAGGAACAACCATCTGTTTATGGGGAACTGAACTGAAAACAACAAATAGATATAATAATTAATGAGCATATCAGAATTAAAAATATTTTCCTTATACAAGTTATTTAAAATTTAACACCTTAATTCTTACCCTTCTGTACAAAGCTTGCACGAAGTTTAAGAAACATTCTGACCATCCTCACTACCAAAAGGAAGTGTTCAAAGCAGATTTGTACAGACAATAAGCATTTTCAGATTAATAATCTATCAAAGGGAAGAGTTCCTTCAATCAATGGAAGAAGTATTTTAAAATTGTAAATCAAGGGAAGAAGGGAGGGAGGGGGGAAGGGAAACAAAGCCTTACATGCTAAATACCAGCTGTAGGTACCTGTATGTAGAATTGATAATTAAGGTATTCCTAACACACAAAACCAGCTCCCAGACAATGCTATAGCTGCTACAGAGTCCATGGCTTGCTCATCTGAAGTAGTGTCTTTGTTGCCACATTTTACCTTTGTTCCAATACTTTTGTTAATTGTTTATTTCTGATGTGCAGATACACACTTGATTAGAGCACACATCCAAGTCTCAACCTTTCCTGCATTTCTTTTTTTTCCTTTTACAGGGAGTCTTTTTGTTTTGTCTTTTAAAACTTCACCATTCTGCATCCCCAATGGCTTTGGAAAATACATAATCTCTTCCGTTAAGATTCATGATGCCATCTTTGAGATGAAATTTCCATTTGTTTTTACTTCTGTGAATCTAAAAACAGGGAAAAAAGTTAAACTATTAGTCTGTATCAGATATAGGTAATAATGTGTAAGTAAATTATAACGGCAAGAAAAAATTAGAATAGCTATTAGATATACATTACTAAATTACTACAAATACTTCAAAAATCAATTCTGCATATAATTATGAAAGCCAAAAACTAATTTCGTATATACTAGTATTTTTTGTTTTCATTTTTTAAACCAGGGACAGCAATTGTCACCAAACCATGCAAGCGCAGAGGCATTCCAAAATATAAAGCATACAGCACATTTTTAGAAGTGGCTGGAAAGGAAGAAGATAAGTATGTACCCAAGTGCTGCTTTAATTTGATTAAATTGTCTTTGATTACAACAGCCACAAAGCTCCACTTCAAAGCCAGAATCCTTTTTCAACCACCATGACAGAAAGACTAAGGTTTTAAACCAGCCCTAAAAGGGTCAAACACCAGGTTTTATTATTTGGATCTCTTGCACCAACTCCTTTCTGCATGAAAGCTAGTTGGATTATGTTATGTATAGATAGATAGCTGGCCTATTCATCAGGAGGTGGAATAAATAATATCACAAAAACATTCAATGGTTTGGGTTGGAAAGGACCTTAAAGCTCATCGAGTTCCAGCCCCCCTGACATGGGTAGGGACACCTTCCACTAAACCAGGTTGCTCAAAGCCCTGTCCAACCTGATCTTGAACATTGTCAGGGATGGGACATTCACAACTTTTCTCCCACATGCCATCCTCACAGTGGGGAAAAAACCCCCACCAAAACCAAAATCATTAATTCCATTCTTCCTCCCCTGGGAGTCCAGATTTGTGGAGCCTGTAACATAATGGATCTTCAGGTTGTAACAAGTATTCCTGTTGACACAGGATAAGAATAAAACAACAGTTTTATTCATATTCTCTTTACAAACATATTCTGTCCCGAAGTAACTTGTCTTTCTTTACGCCTGTTCCCAAACAAATACTACCCAACTACAGGAAGCAGGTTGACCAGTGTGCTGAAGGACATTAGAAAAGATACAAGAACAAGAAATAGCTGTAGTTTTGAAGACTTCAATTATCTTACGCCTAATGAGTAAACATCAATCTGCAGGACTGAGGCGATTTTAGATACTATACAATCAAGTGCTACTTCACAAGGAAGCCAAGTCAAGGAACCCATAAAATACACAATCCCCTTCTTGGTTCAAGACAGCATGCAGGGTTTACACTAGAAAATATCACCAGAACTAACAGCAACCATGTATGACAAACATTTTTTCCATGGGCACAAGAACAGCTAAGACCATAGCACTCAATCAGTTATTAGGAGTATCACTTTAACCTTAAAAGTCAGTGGCAACAGCAAATAAATGAAGAAGGGAAGGTCTGGCTTACAATACTCGCCTTTCTGAATGGCATCAAACAACAATCCCTCATCAGAAGCATCTGAGCTGCCATGAGGTAAGAAGGAAGGTCCTCAGATGAATAAAGATGGGAAAACAAGGGTAAGAACACTGTTTCTATAGTAAAATGAGATCATTCCAGAAGAGATATGTGCTGGCTGGAGTCTGCATATTTTAAGAATTCACTAATCATCTGGAAAATGACAAAACGTCATTGACTGTAGAGGAAGACAGTTACTGAAGAGTTGCAGAACAATGCTACTGCCCTAACTCATTGTGTCATAAACCAATGGTGCATTCAAAGTATATGAAGGTAATAACAATGGAAAAAAAAAACCCAAACATTCCAACTTACATGGACAGAAAAAATGATGGGTTTGAAGTTGGCAATTACAAGTCAGGAATGAGATCCTAAGACTCCTCCACGGGTTCAGTGGGGTCAAAAGCACACATGAACTATTGCTGAACATTGCTACACCACTTAATAAATCAAAGGTTCACCTGCATTGTGAATATGTCTGATCCTCCCTTAATCTTATCTACCTGTACCAAGTAAGATACAGAAGAATAAAACAGATCTGGAGAATGAAAAAAAGAACAATCCAGTATTTGCACAATTGTAAAAATAACCACCAAGCAAAGTGTAGCTCTGATTTCAAAGAGATGACTGAGGAGCATGATGATGGTCTGCAGTATCATAAAAGGCACCAAGAAAGCAAAGAGGGAACAATCTTCTAAATAATGAAGTACGAGGTATCATACAAAATTAATGGGATGAAAAATAGGTAATTCTCCACACAACCTCTATGAAACTTCTTGTCGTAAGACAAAGATTCAAAAACAATCAAATTAATTTCTGACATATTAAGGAAAAAAAGCCACCATATCTCGCTCAAGTTTACAGAAGGATGGTAAAATGCTCTACATAAGCATCACAATCTGCCTGTCTCACTGTTCCAGAGGCACCATCAGCTGATGCTGGACACTAATATAAGAGGGAACTCTGCTCAGAACAACTGAGCTAATCCTGTGTATTTTATAGAGACAAACTGTTTGATAAGTGATGAGGTCCTTTCAAAGTACATGGTGCTACAGGTTAATGATGGACACTGTTCTGTACTGAGTTCACATTCTTAACTTTTAAGAGGATGAGGATTTCAAAGTAGTTCCTGATGCTCAGCTTTAACAGCTCCCAACAAGCTTTTCTGACTGCTATTTTGAGGTTCCTCACTATCCTCACAAATTGCCCTGAAACTAACAGTTTTGGATTACAGTGTGGAGAAGACAGATGGCTGGGATGCAAATACTGATACCACTTTTCTCTGTCTTAAATTCTCTGTTGAATGTGATGACAAGCCTAAGCAGAGTCTGGGCATAACTGAAGATCTTCTAACCAGCCGTTCTTCACAACATAGGAGTTTTTATTCAACAAACTTAGAGAATATTTTCTGCTTTAAAAAGGATCCTTATTCACTGTAGTCCAATTAATCTAGCATAGCAAAAGAATGAATAATCTTTCCGCATACCACCTCAATAAAAAGTTGTTTGATATCCTGTACACACATTTAAAATAATTCCAGACATGGATGAATACTTGCATATTCCAGGACAAATATGCACGAAGAAATTAGTTATTATAGAGAAAGCAAGACAGCTCTGCAGAATTTAAAGCAAGATAAGCAAAAGCACTCCACATGGCCACTTCAGTAAAGAATGCATAGCACAGAAAAAAACCTTCTCCTCTGATAACTATTCATCATCAAGAAGAGATATTTTTAGTGACCAAGGAAGTTTTCCACAAGCGTAAATCGTAATGACTGCTTTTTCCATTCACCACCACAGCAAATGTACAAACTTACTTACAATAGTTCACTTTTCCTGAGCCCAGAGGACTGACCTTTGCTAAAGGTCACAAAAAGACATGATGAAAAAAAAAGAAAATGCAGCCAAATCCTTCTAAGCTTTACTCATTATCAGGTTTATACAAACACGTCACACAAACTTTGCTTTAGAAAACAAACAATTGGTAATTCTTACATGACCACTCACATTATAATCTTTACAGATCTACCTCTACTTAGCAGTCACAAAGAAATTACTTAAAAATTATTACTTGATAGGAAGAAGAACAAAGAAAGTAGAATCCTTGGATTCTGTTCAGTAGTTTACCTTATCATACTGGCACACAACAACATTTTCTGTATCAAACAGTTCTTGTCCTTCCTCATCACTCACATCATCTTCACTGTTAAGAGGTTCCTGAAACAAACACATGCAAAAAGTCACGCTGATTAGTAAAATCAAAGTACACGATTACTCACGTAAGGCTACAATCTTGTGAGAACTACAAGACTTAAAATTCATTTGAGGTGGCGAATATCAGGCTTTCCAGCAGGGGTGATGAACATACACTTTGTTCCCGTGCTCAATCCTAGGATACCCTTGCCAATTTTAATTTGGTACTTCAGTGTCCAGGCCAGACTCTGGGCATAGAAGCTTTTTATCACTACAACCATTCCTGTTCTTTTACTGTAAATGTTCTGGTGACTGCAATTTGTCTTTACAAAAAAATTACCATTACACAGATTTTTACATAAAAAAATAACTTCTCCAGACCTAGAATTATCTTCATGTTCCTTAAAAATTATTTCCCTTTTTTTGTCTTTCTGCTAACACTCTTCCAGCAGAAATTTGGGGTTTTGTTTTCTGTCTAATGCAAACAACACACATTGCAAAGCTAAATCAACCTCTAATAAACACAGAGCAACTTTTCCAAAGTCTTCTGTATAATCCTCGTCTTCCCACATATTCACAAATACATAAGATATATGGAAGAGATGCTACTGAGAGGAGAAAAAGTTCCAATTCCTTCTAGAGTGACTTTAAGTGACTTCAAAAGCTTTAAGGAACTGGTCCACTCATTAAGTAACTGTGGATGAACACAGGTAGCAAAAGTAACAGGAGACCTCTGGCATGCTGATAATAAAGTCTTGGCATATAAAAAAATTTCCACAAGAATGCTAGCATTAAGACACTATTACAGAGTACTTAATATTTAAGCATGATGACCTATACTTAATGAGGCAATTAGTACAACATTCAAACTGACATCAATGCTGATCAATACAATGGAAAAGTGATGTGAACCCAATTTAAGTTGTAACAGAAAAATTCTATTAGCCACCACTGTAGAGGTACTACAGAAATAACTCCTTGACAAAAATTAAAATTTTTACATGCATACACTAGATGGGTAATAGAGACTGTGAAATACTACATATGCTTCTCATGCTGGCATTTTAAATGGAATCTTAAAATAATTGGAAAGGCTGCAGAGATCTGATCCGGCAGTTCAAAATGCATTTTAGGTTAGACTTAGGGAGTACCAAGTTTCCTGTCAAAGACTACAATGACAGTACTTCTAGCTTATTAGCATTCCCTCCCCAACTTAAAAAAAATAGATCTTATTCTTGTGGGGCTTTTTGGTGCAATACACCAAAATTCAGTAAGAGCTGCTGGCTCAAGTCCAAAACCAAGAAAATTCAAAGTCTAAATTAAGCACATATTGTTAAGAATGCAACAAGTCATGAAGAATATTCACTCCTCCTCCTATCTCCTGATTTCTCTAAATCAAGGTCAGGGTTATTTCTAGAAGGTGCTTTATAATAAAACTTGAGTTCTCAGGCTTGTTCTAGTGTAACAGAAAGCAATACAATACTCAGTGAGATACAGGTCAGACCACATCTATTGGTCCTGTCACTAAATACATGCTGAACTGTCTATTGGTCCTGAACTAAATATATGCTCTCCTTTTTGTCAGTCTTCCTAACACCTTGGTTTTGTATGCACTCAGTCCCAAGTGGAGTTTACTGTTTCCCTAATTCCATGGCTGCTCTCTCCATAATATCAGAAATATTATTACTGAATTTTTTTAAAAGGGCGTTAACAACAATCAGCAGTTTTTGCTGTGTCCCCCTGCCTTTCAAGGTGCTTTGTTAGCACACAGTTTCTACAACTTCCATATAGGAAATAAAGAAACTGAAGTACAAGGATAAAAGTTATATTCTCAAAATTAATGGAATACAGTATTATTTGAAGCATATAGTTTTCTTTCAAATATTGCAAAAAAAAAAGGTAAAATGGAACACACGCATGCTCCAGTCTTCTGAAATAATGTTAAGTTTACCTCTTCAACTTGGCCATCTTCACCCCCGTCTTTTTCTTTGTCTTCCTCCTCCTCATCATCATAGTCTTCTTCCTCATCTTCTTCTTCTTCAGATGATGTGTCCCCTGCTCCATCAACTTGGAGAACAAGTGGTGCTTGTGGTTGTGCCTGTTGTTGTTGTGGTTGCTGTTGACCAGCTGCAGGAATCTGTGCTTGAGCTGGTGTAGGGGCAGCCACTGTTGTAGGTATGACTTGTGTTTTATTTCCTGTAAACAGGATCTGCTGAGGCTGAATTATCACTCCTGTCTGTTGGGAAATCCCTCCAGGGATAGGAGCCAAAACCTGATGGAATACCATTGCAAGTACTGTGGCTGCTAACATAACAGACTATCACATCACTCACAGAAAACAATTAAAGCATATTAATCCGACTTGCACTAATTAAAGAAATGAGAGTTAAAAAGATTCCAACTGTTTCAGATAAATACCTTCAATAATATACCTGCTTTCACTACTCGGTGTTAATTTTCTGCATTTTGCATTGCTGAATCTAAGAAAACCTACTCTCATTCCGTTCTAAAACACTAGCACTACCGCCGCACCCGAGTTCCAAGCACAGCAGGGGAATGTTTAAATTCAAGTAAAAGATTATTCTTAAACCTTCTTTATAAAACATTTAACTTAAAACTCTTTACAAATTGTTCCTATGCTTAAATTGCAGAACTGTGACACAACGCTAAAACTCAATGCTTACACAGACACACAGCTGGCTTGCAGCTGAACAAAAAATCATCGTAAAACATCCTGGGTTCACTACTAAAGTAATCAAGGGAACTGTGTATGTTTGCTTTAGGTATTTTCTCTATATGTTATGTGACACAATAATTTTAACTGATAAACACATTTTTAGAAAGATGTAAACTAGGATTATGATACAGTTGTCATCAGGGGATGCACGTAAGAAATTTTAAACTGCAGCCAGTCAAAATTTGGCAAGAATAAAAGTGACATTGAAAACAACACTTCAAAATTGTGCATTTTTATAAAACACACTTCTTAGCACAATTGTCTTCTTTTTTTTTTTTTTGTTTAAAATATACTCTTTCTGACTTTGTTTTGTATTACAATTTGCTCACAAAAATGCAACCCTCTGGTAATTACTGTAATGTTTTTTCTTTCAATTGTACCTACTAAATTTTTTTTTTACCTGCTGTATAACAGGTGCTTGTACTCCACCAGGCTGCATTTGTGGTATGACCTGCTGCTGTAGAACAACTGGCTGCTGTGGTTGAATGATATACTGAGCTCCATTTGCAGTTCTAACTACCTGGAGGATCTGGCCTGTAATAAAATAAATATCAAACTAATCAACTGTAGAAATCACTTTTAGAACGATCGTAATTCAGAAGCTTGTTTCCTGGAAGAACACCAATTATAATTTAAGGAGAGTATTTACATTTCATTTTCACCAGTGCAAAGATACTATGCCATAGCAGCTGTGTCAGAAACAAATATGGTTGTTTATCATCTGAATAGGATCATGAGGTATGCAATCCAAAAATAAATTTACATATGCAAGGCAAAAATCTAATCCTTTAACACAGAACAGTATTTTAAATATTAGCCCCCACATTACTCATGTTTCAAAACATGGTTTTACAGATAGAAATACAAATGAACATATACCAAAATAAGAATACAGGTATTCACACCACAAAGCCTCTACCCATTCCTGACACTGTTGTATTTCCAGGGCCCTGTCAGATGATTTCCTTTCCTCACATTTTTTCCTCTAATTACCGAGTAATAAGAAATTCCTCTATGCATAACTTTCTTTGCAATATTATTATGCGGTTGCCTTTTTGAAAAATCTATCCCTACAGTTACTATCCACCTCTCCTTTCTGAATCCACAACACCTGTACTCCATTTTATTATCCTATATCTTTATTATTATGTACCTTTCCTCACTTCACAAAACACATCTAAGACTCACACACCTTTGGAAACAGCCTCCACCTCTGACAATGAAGCGCTAAGATATATTCCAACATTAGTTTTTCACATTTCTGATCAGAAAGATGTGGGAGAAAAAGAAACTAAATTAAATAATCCCGAACTTCACACATTTAATTCAATGACTGATTTTAGTTCTTGTTCTCCCCCTTCACAGCAAAATGCCAAGCCCTATTTACTGAAATAACTAAGTATATCTGAAAGAAGAGTCTACCCTAGTCCTTTATTTAAGAAAATGTACAATAAATATTTGTAACTGATGAAAAAAAATTATGACCATAACAAAAGTAACAAATGTGAGCCACAGATTATGCTATGCTATGACATAGATATGCTTCCTTAAAAATGGAAAACATTTTAATTTCTAGAACAGCTACACGTTTGGATTGTATATGAACTGTATATCCATTAAATATTCAAATGTTTAAAGCAGGAAGGTTAAGTCCCAGTCTAAGCAGACCAGATGAACCACCCTTGCCTGCCTTCTTGCTTCATGCACTTCTCTAAAAAGTGCAGAAAACTTGCACAAAATCTAACCCACACCACAGTTAGGTCAGAACCACAAGGTTCATAAGACTACCAAGTCAATGAGTTAAAGAGTCCAAGAGTCTGGTGGAGAGATTGCACTGCCTTCTAAGGGTGAATTCCCAGGTTCTGCTTTTTAACATACATATTAACAGGGAGTAAACCCACAATTTTTCCCTCCCAATCACCCTCAAAACCATTGTTTGATCTCAATGTTACTACAGTTACCTGAATTTGTAAGTATCTGCTGAACAGGAGTAACACCAGCAGGGAGAGCCAATGTAGCTGCAGTAGCTGCAGCACTCTGTAATAGAAGAACAGCTTTTTAACCACAGACATTATTGCAGGTGTGTCATCTTGCTACATGCTGCCTGAAAATACATACCTTTTTAATGCTGTTTACAGTGTTCGCACACAAGTTTCTGCAGCTACTGAAATGCAGGCATTAATCAACTGTACATTATACTACACATAAAAACTATTTTCCTTCTTCCTTAACAGGAAGACTGAAGCAACAATCACTAAGCATCATACCTTAACATAGGTCCACATGATTTCTTGGTTTATCTGCAAGCTCAGCAGACTTTTTTTCCTCCTCTGCCAAGCTACTAATAAGAGTACAATACTGTGTTGCTCATGTGGCAATTTTACTTATACTTTTTTAAAGCAGCTAAAGGTATAGGCCTACAAATCTGAAGAAACATACAGTACTGAAGCAGTGATCATGTTCCCCTGTCTTGTTTTCACATGAAGCAGCAATCAGGTTTGCACTTTTCTTCATTCTGTAAGTAATCTACATTTCAAGTAATGCATAACACAGCTCTTTTGAGTGAATATATGCATACAGTGTACTGACTGTTCACAGAATGACTAATTTTTTTCTCTGAAGATAGCTAGTTAAAAGAGAAAGCTGAAGACTCTCAGTGGGTAGTGATTTGTACTTAAAAGAAAACTGAATTCCAACACAATTATGGGAGCTCCAAACACAAAAATCTGCATTAAGTGCTTAATTTGCAGAACAAGACAGACTTCTCCATTTCGAGGGTCTAACTTCAGCTGCCTATGGAAAAGCCTCCCTTTCCCTACTATAAAGGAATCATGGCTGCTCACTCTTTGCTACAGAAAGGATGTAAGTATTTTATTACAGAGTGCACATTTCCTGTTTATAAGACATCTGAACTCCCCGTATTGGCTGGTTAACATAGTAGTTATAACTGCCAAAATTAGACACCACCAAACAAACTGAAAAGTGCTTGTCTGCATCCTCATGTCCCAGACAAAGGCAGATGAATAAACTCTCATTACTCTCTGCCTTCCAATATATTCAAGCTCTGTCAGATCCATTCTTTAACACAAACTTAAATGTTTCTAAAAAACCACACATAATAATTTCAAATTTATCCTATAACTATTTACTGAACAGTAGTCTTCTGCAGTATACAATTCATCTACATTTTGACAGCAGCAGAGTTTTAAAATATGGCATACTAATTTTTCCACTCCCCATCAGTAAGATCTAACTGAATGAGACAAAGTTTAACTGTTTGACTTGGGAAGTTATGAATCACACTGAAATGGTTGTAAAACATGCAAGAGAAAGGTAGATGTACATGTGCTCACAGCCTCTGGGTTAAATCATGCCATATGAGTAACAAAGTTCAGGTTCTTTTCTATAGTAAGGTCAGCAGGTAATGGAGAAGTGAAGCTAAGCAACCTACTTGACTAACCATGAAACAGAGCTACATGTGCTTTTACCATAAAAGTGGCAAGAATATAATATAAGAATTTCAGTCTTAATAGGCATATTTAACTTGCATTTGCTGTTGTCTTCATCACTTTGCAAGCGATTTATTTTTTATTTTTTTTATTAAGGCAGGGCATTTAAAGCAGGATAAGATAACCAAAATAAAGCTCTAGAGATAAAAACTGCAAGAAAGGGATAAGTGATGGTACCATTTCATATGCTACTATAAAAATTAGTGAATCAAATTAATGTGACAAGAAAAAAATTGACGTGAATTGATAAATAATCTCTAATTTGATACAAGATTATGTTTCAGAGTTGTTCATGGTTCTTCCTACATCTAGCCAATGCAGTGTGCTTGCATTAGTTAATAGTGTTGTCCTGGTAGATGACGAGCACATCATCATGCAGATTCATACCCACAGTACTCCAATTTATGTTTAAAAAAGAAAAATAAATTTGTTAAACACATTTAAAGCACAGGATCAAGATAAGTCCTAGATTTGTTATCAAAGTTGAAGACCTAGGTTACTGTTCCTGGATTGTCAGTGCAACACTAAAACTCAGAAAGATGACAGGCAGTTATGTAAGTGTGTCCTAAATTACTTTTAAGCACTGATGACTAACACCAGACTTCTTGTTTACTATTTAATCAAAACAGCTTACATAATGACAGTGTATGCACATATAAACAACTGCTTTTCTTACCATGCCTGACGCATTCATGTGTGGTATAAGCTTGGAATCTGGCACAATAACTTGCTGCTGAGTTGCTAGAAACGAAAAAAAAATAGCATTTCATGAAAACTATGAAGCCTGTCCAAAATAACATCAAAGCCAGAATAACTTAGAAAGAACATCACCCATACATCAGCCAAGCTTTGTAACAGAAACAGCTACTGAGCGGTCTCTGATCTTCATAGAATCATAGAACGGTTTGAGTTGGAGAGGATCATCTAATTCCAACCCCCCCTTGCCATGGGCAGGGACATCCTCACACTAAACCAGGTCCCCCAAGACTCCATCCAACCTGGCCCTGAACACTGCCAGGGATGGAGCATTCACAACTTCCTTGGGCAACCTGTTCCAGTGCCTCACCACCCTCACAGTAAAGAACTTTTTCCATATATCTAACCTAAACTTTAGTGTAAACTTCTGGTAACTTTAACTAGGGAAGACACTGAGAGCAGATAAGGATAACTGTCCCACTCTAGGTATTTGTCTAGTCTGAAGAGAGCATCCATATCAAGCTGACGTAAGCACCACCTCGACCTACTCTAGAAAAATACATTCCAAGTGAACAACAGTTCAAGAAGTATCTGGGAATAAGGCACTATAAGTCTCACTCACAATACGTGATACATTGACAGACTGGCTACATATTTAAACACACATTATGGCTCAGAAGTCCTTGCTCTGGAGTAATGAACAGTTCCGTGTGTGAAAGAAAGGGCTGTTGCATGCAGAACCCCCTGCCCCTTCATACAATTAAGGCAGCATTGTGCTCAAGAAAGCATAGCAGGATATTACTAAGTTTTACTCTGAAGATATTATACAGCTCTAAGAAGCTGGCTATTCTGGCTTCACAGATCTTATTTCAAGGGCTTCAGTTACCTATTCCAACCCCAAGTAAAGCAAGATTTAAAATATATTTTTAAAAGTAAAGGCATTAGTGAAATGTTGATAAATTTATGTCCAGTATCAGAGTTCTCCAAAAACGTCAGTTCACAGTGGTTAACTCTTAAAATTGACATAAGCAAGATGAAGAAAATGTTAACAGGATGCAGCAGTTAGCCCAAGTTACATCTAATCAGCATAATCTTATGATCTTAACTGTATTTCTAATGTAGCAGAAGCAGATTAAGTATAATCAACCACCTGTTCCCCTCAGAAAAAAAAAAAAAACAAGCCCAACATAATTTTGATGTGCTAAAGGAAATAGATAGCTTAACTATGCAAATAACCTGCTGATCATCTAGAAGTGCAAAAGTGTCCTAGTATGTGGAACAAGCAGGCTATGAGTGCTAATACAGTAACAGCAAATTGGAAAATGACAGAGCAATTTGAACAAACTAATCATCAACAAGGTATTCTCCATCCAATCCTATAACCAAGGACACTTAAGAATACTGAGTTTCTGGAAAAGATTTGGAGGAGGAAAGGCCCACAACCCTGCACCAAGATCTGAGGCCATCTCTCCAACTTTCAGAGAATCCAGAGAGGGCAAAAGAGCCCCAAGGACATCTTGTGACCCTGTGCCAGGACCACACACAGGACAGAAGGAATCACCCTGCCGATTGTCCTGATCTCTCTCTGGGACTGCACCAAGTCATGCAAGGAACAACTACACCATTACCCTTGTGGTACAGAGAAGTCAAGTAATTCAGAAAACCGCATATCTGTAACTAAAGGATTTTCATATCCTAATTTCATCTAGCCTTTAGCCTCCACACTGTCATTTTGTCACAAGCCACAACATGGGACAACAAAAAAATCAGTTTTAAGTGTATTACTACAGGCAGGATCTTATTCTAGCCTAAGACACAAACGGGAAGACATGGATCTCCGTGTTAGCAGAATCACAGCTATTCCGCTAAAGAGCCACTAGAGGTCTTGGTGAGTAGACTTTTCCAGTTCCACTGACGGTAATTTAAACCAGAACACACAGGTTATTTAAAGCCACGTCTATTTAGGGGTCTTAATCTCAGAATTAGTCGAAACTGAGATAGGTCCAGTCAAAATACAAAGTACTATAATAAGAAAGATAGAGAGGGAAAAACACCCAGACACTGAACCAAAAAAGCAACCAAACAAAAAACCCCACCCCAACAAGTTGTTCTTGTCACACTAGTTCTCTTTTGAATATACGGTGGTTGGGCTTGAGGGTAAGGGGAGACAACCAGAGAGCCAATTCAAAGCTATCTTTTGTACCTATGACAACAGAGGTTCTGATCCATAAAATCTGAAAAAATGACTGAAGTCTGGACTACCACAGCTAAGTATTTTATACCACAATTTTAGTAGCACTCTGAAAACTCAAGTATTTTGTAGATGGCAGACCTGTTCACGCAGCATATATGCTGTACAACCCAGAAGTATTTACCTTAGTTTTCAAAGTAAATTGTAACTGGTCAAAATGTTTCACTTAAATTAATGTCTCTCTTAAACTAATGGAGAATCCACAAGGCAATAATTATACAGAACAATACTGTTATGGCTAGACAAAATATACCTACACAGTATGCAATCTTTCAAGACTACAAAACCACCCAGCTGTTACTTGAAACTTGTTCTAGCATGAAAAACCATCTCCCAAACAGACTCTTATACAAGCATTTTTCATGTCCCAGCATCCACTTATGCTAAGCAATACAGGTTTTTTTAAACTAATTTGCTCCTAATCACATTAATACCTCAGGATTTAATTGTCAACTGGATATGTGTATCGGCTTGAAACTACAGAGCTGCTAATGAGTTTTTGACAAAATCTTGAAGTCATGCACTCTGAGAACATAACTGACATAGTAGAAGACCAAAAGAAAAAATTCATTTTCCCAAAATCTTCTGAAGAATATCACTAACACAAATACCAGGTTATTTTCACCAAGCCAGCTTTCTTGACCCATTAAATAGAAGCAAGTAGAAACAAAGTTAACATCAAAACATAAAATTATCCATGAGATAAACATCCCGCCCTAGTTTTAGAACATACTATGGAGTCAGTCTAACTTGACAGCCTTTTGCCAGAGAGGTTAGAGAATAAGTCTGACCTTGCTGAGACGCTGGAATAAGGACCTGTTGTGGCTGAGACTGTTGCTGCACAGTCTGCTGTGGCTGAGCTTGTGTGTGATGATGGTGGTGATGATGCTGCTGTTGCTGCTGCTGTTGCTGCTGTTGCACCTGCAACAAAAGTTGCTGCTCTTCTGAATGAAAGCCATCTACAGCCTTGGACTGCATCAACTTGTTCTCCCACAGCTGGTTTGGAAAAGGAAAGAGAAATTTCCATGTACAATTTTTACTCAACAGGATTTGTAACAATATAAAGATAGTACTCCAAAATTGAAATTGTTTTCACTGTTTATCTTGTGCAGCCTACTTAGCCCAAAAAGCCCACAGGCAAACAGGCTGAAGAGAGAACTCCAGAGAGGCAATATTTTAAGAAGAGAAATTAACTATCTTACAAGAATTGCCAGCCCAAGCTTAACATTCTTCATTTCATCCAAGCGTGGAAGATTAGTAATAGCCCTAACAGAAGCATAAATAGAGATAAACTGGTAATTTTAAAGTAGCCTTCAAGTTTTCATATCTCTACCTTCTCCCTGTCTTGCCTCTTAAATCACAAAAACCATTCTTTATGTTCTTACTCTTTCCTCAAGCCATTTCTTTTTGGAACTCCTCAATAAAAGTCGCTTGAAGACTATTGCTTACAACACAATTCAACAGAAACTAACAGTATACCTAAAATAATGCCTCTGGACAAGCATTTACAGTTTCTATCACAATACCAAATTCAGCTTCTCCAGCCCTTCAGTTCTTTATGTCATCTGACATGTCTCCCAAAAAAATCAGCTCTTGTAAACAGACAGCAACATAATTATTCCAAAATACATCAGAGTCAAAAGGACTACAAGCAAATAGGGCTCCCTAAGCCTTCCTCTTCAATATATTTCCTTCTTGTCTCTTCCCTCATTCAGCCTTTTCTGACATCATTTGCAGAACATGTCCGTGACACAGACACACAGTGCTTTTCTTACAGTGCTCACTTCATTACCTCCCAAGCCAGGCCATGGTTTCACAGAAGAATTCTTTACCTGTTTCTGTCTAGCCAAACTCAACATTCCTTTCCCACTCCATCCATTTTTTAATACTTCAATACTGAGAGTGTAGGACATCCTGCTTTCTGAACAAGTCCTTATTCAACAGCTGACATAAATGGGCACCTAATTTCCTAGCTTCCTTTTACTTTATTTCTCCCCCCATCCCACCTTTTTTTATCCCCTGCATTTTCTCTTGCCTTTTGAAGGGCTTCTTTTACCCAGGAAGAACTTGAAGAAAGCCACAGGAGACCCATCAGAGCTCAGTTCAACATCCTCCCTTTCTTCTAAACCCTTGGTAACAGCTCGAACCCACTGTATGTAAACCAATTCTGAATATGAGTTTCAGAAAAGCATGATGCACACAGTGCAATTTATTATGTACCACCCTCCAGAAACAATAAATCTGCAAGCCACAAACCGTACATGCAAAAATCTGACAATGCATCTGACAATGCAACTCCCCTTCTTCAGAAAGACAAAAACCTCAAGCAGGGCAGGCATTTTATTTTTCCTGCAGAGAAACCTTAAGAATTGTCTGCCTTGGAAATACACATATTCTCCACCCCTCCTTTTTTTAAGATACAACATTTTGGGGACACAAAAACCACTGTGAATTTGGATGCCTGCGGCTAGTTTATATCAAGTTTGACATGCCAGTTAGGGAAAATAAACAAGGTGAGCAGATCTCTCTATACAGTAGTGTAGTTCAAATTATATGGGGCTACAGATATGCAGGTTAATGCAATGCTTCGCTAACTAAAAACTGGTATTTTTACTGTGGACAACAGTAGCAGATCCAAAAAACCAACTGCTGCATTAGTCTGTTAGAAAAAAACCAAAAACAATCTTTTAAGTTGCAACTTACTGTTTTGAGTTCCATAAGAACTTGTTCGTCCACTCCTTCATCCAGGAAAACTTCTCTGACATCATTGATGACGTCTTCAATTACAGACCTGTACAATTTAGGCTTAAAAAAAAGAGTAACTGATCAGAATTGTTTTGAAAGAAACTTACCACTGTAACATTAATATAAGATTTCCTCCCACAAAAAAAAAAAAAAAATCCTCCAAAAACTCTATTACAAAATACACTGCATGTTTGTAAGTGACTAGAATACCCAAGGAGTATAAATCAGCAAGAACAGATCAAATGAGGTGAAAAGATAAGGGAATGTTCGCTACTTTTTGCGACATAACAACAGTATGAGTTTTCAAGCCCTGAGGAGTATAAATCAAAACAGAGATTGTTTTCCATCCGGTGAATCTGTTACCTGCTTGCCAATGTACATACCAAATATACAAAAATATCTGCGTCTGTGCAAAATATTAATGTCAAAAAATGTTAACAGTTCAGAAGGATATCAGATAAATACAGAGAAAAGAAAGCTGCTAACATTTGCTAGCTCAACAGGAACCAAATACAGCTGAGAACGATTTCGACTGAAAAACACTAAAGGCTCAAAAAACTGGAAGTATTCATGTGAATGTCCTATTCTTCCTTAGGCATCTGTTTATAGAAACTACTGAAGAAACTATACAGGGCTAGACAGACTTCTGGTTTTTATCATTACTTACATTTTTACACTAGAAATTTTTAAGGGAGACTATTATGCTGATTTTAGGCCTATACTGTCAATGGTGAGGAAAAACTGTGGAGTCTCCATTCCTGAAGATACTCAAAAGCCACCTGGACATGGTTGTGGGTAACCAGCTCTAGGTGGCCCTGCTTATGCACCAATGCTGCAAGAAGACCTCCAGAGGTCCCTTACAACCTCAGCCATTCTGTGAATTTTAAAATGCAGGTACAGTTTTAAGAAGAGAATATAAATACTTCACCTGATCAATTAAAGCACAAAATTTAATTCACAGAACAGAAGCTAACAGCACTACACATGTGCTGTACCTTTTAAACCTCAAGGGTATTTTGGCTGGGTTTAAACACCTGTGCTATCTAACTGTGAGGCAGCACTACACGCTCTAAATTAGGGTGGATGAACCTGCAGCCTTTGAATCATGTACATGTCACTGACCAACGCTGTTCCTTGGGATATGGGTAGGCCATTTTTAAGCTCATCTAAAAGTAGCTACAACTTTCCGTAAGCTGATCTTTTCTTCTATCCCATTCCCCAACTTCCTTAAGCAATAAATCCCAAATGATGCCACACAAGATATACGTTGTCTATATGCAAAACAATCATTCTGTGCTTGTGCAGTAGGTTTGGCACCCCAGGAGGGCTGCGCCTCCAATACACACATAGAAACCCTGCACCAAGCACATGCAGTTAGTCCAGCAGTGCTGAAACTACACAGATTTACTGCACGCGCTTGAAGCATTTATTTTATGCACACGCTATTGTTTGATGCCTCACAGAAGTGTTGAATTTGCTACGTATATTCTAAAGATTATATTGCACATCTTATGGAAATTGCTATGCCTGTGTTATGGAATAATGGAGGGCGAGTAACAGCACATGATGTACTAGCCTGGGAAAAAGCAGAGTGGCCAATAAGCACAAAAAGAAGTCAAGTAACTTTGTGTTAAAATGGTAAAAAAACCCAAACCAACTAACCAAAAAAGCCCATCACAACAATAACAAAACAACATAAAGGAATGCACTCATATTAGGAGGGGAGAACTGAACCTATTTGGAAGCCTGGAACTAAGAACTAAGCAGTCCAATGGCTGCAGAGTGCATTATGTCCTTAGTGTTTAAAACAAACTCACACTGAGGCATACTCAAGTGATTTTTCCTAAAAACACAAACAAACGAACATCAACCACAAACAACAACAAAAGCCCAATGGGGGAAAAAAAACCCAAAACAATAATAATAATTAAAAAACAGTAACAAGCCACTCTATGTTATTGACTCGCATCTATATTTTGGCAAGTGCCATGCTATCAGCAACCTATTTTTTTCTTCATTTTGTATTTCATCAGTTTGTCGCTTTTCAGCTTTAAAACATGCTGCTGCAAATCAAGTAGCTGAAGTGTTAGAATTCATCCTTTGTTACTTGTCTCACAAAAAAAAAAATTCTGGCCTTAAACAACAGTAAGTTTGCCATCCTTGAAAACATTTACAGCACCTATGTCCAAAACTTCTCCAAGAGAAACAAAACATGCCAGATACTTGCAGATTTTTTTGTTTCAAAACAATACAGCATGCTCATGTATCCAGGCTTCAAGTACAGAATTCATTATTCTTACAGAGACATTTTTAAAACAGACTTGCAAAGTCTATTTGAGTGCTAGTATTTTAAATCTGTGTAGTCACTTAGAAATACCAAGCATCATTAGCAAGATTATTTTTCTGCTTGGATTTAATTCATAGCAGATGCAAAAAGACATCCTGCTTAATGATATTAAGTCCTATTATTTCTATAATGAAACAAATTGCATAAAGCTGAAATAATTCAACTAGCACAGAAATGCTACTTAACCTATTCCATATATTGTTCCTTATTGTATTAAAAGCATCTGCTGCTTAATGCCAAAACCACATTGTGCAAATAAACATGCTTAACCTCCAGCATGTGAGTTACTGTACTTCATTCAAGAGAACTACCTGTATGTCTGAAATTACAATCAAAATTCTGGCAGGATGAAGACTGCACTTTCTAGTTCAATCCTCCCTTCCTTAAATCCCCTGCTAGATTCGCTTTTCTAATAAAGCAGATTTTACACAAACAGACCTTAAGAATTTCCACCAGCAGTTACCTTCTCCTCTCTCCATAGTCAGTCATTCTTGTAATGTTCATTTATTACAAAGCCTCCTCAGTCTATAAAGCCATAGGAAAAAATATCAACATTCAGATACAACAAACTGACCATACAGTCCAACAGTCTGCTAGGGAATGTTTCCTTCTTTCCCTGCTTAGTAAGGAAAAAAAACCCAAGTTTAAGCAGCTGGATGCTGGTTTCTGGTGTCCAGCATTAGCGTAGCCAGAGAACAGAAAGGCAGGTTAAGAGCATAGATGTTCACTCTGCCATTGACACAGCATCCTTCTGCACAACTTCCAAGAGCCCGAGCAAGCAGCTGAGCCCCCCAAAAGACAACACCACCACAGGGATGCAGTGAGTCTAGTGCAATGCTTAACAAACCCACCAGCAGTTTGTACATGCATGTATCTCTTTACATGAGCCACACAGTGCACTGGATATAGATGGGTCAGAATTTTTGGATGCTGCTCTAATCATGCAGTATCCCAATATATGATACAGTCATGGCTTTATAATTAGAAGGAAGGGAACAGAGAAGAAAGTATCTACATGCTTAAAATAAAACAGTGTCTGACTGATTTTACTTATGCATGTTTACACAATACTCAGAAAAATCCTGTCCAGTTGAAAATATTCCCTTGTGTGCACTCCTATTGAACATCCAGCCCAGGGGGATGCAACACCTTCCGCAGAGGAAGCAGAAATGCCTTCAAGAGCCATCCATAGGACAATTTGAAAAATATCACAGGATGCTCTTCCTAGTTCAACAGAGGTGAACCCAGTAAAGTTACAAAACAGCCTTAAGCCCTGGTCTTGAAAAGGAAGCACACCGTATTGTTTTAGATATACACTGTTGGCTTTAAGCATTATTTATATGATGCTCAAGCTGTTTATACAAGCCACCTAAGACTGGAGTTGAATGACGAAATTATCTTACTCAAAAAGTAAATATGGGAACACAATTACTGAACAGGTCTGAAGATGGGATAGCAGGAGAGTTAAGCTTTCCAATAAATTTCCACATTCAGGCAACAAAGCAATGAGAACATAATGGAATCTTTAAAGATTGCTATTAAAATAATCATGCTTTCATCTGGTTTATTTTAAAGTGCCTCCCTCATAAAGAGTACATTGCTGTAAGCTTCAAACTCTTTTAAGAGCAAAATACTCAAATCACTCTTCAATAAACACTATTCCAAACACTTACTATAAAGACAACAATTAAAATTCCTGATTTATTAGATACAACCACAAACACATAGAAAAGATCTGAAATCTAGTACTTCCCCCTCTGGTAACATAAGGAAATTATTATATTTCACTTTCTCTGTGCATCTTGTAAAGAAAATGCTGAGTATGGTGAGACTGCTACACACGCACACATGCTCCAAATCCAAGGAGCAACCAGCAAGCTATTTTAGGAAATGTCACATGCCTTTGGGGGCTTACACTTCCTACATTCCTACAGTTCAAGAGCACAAAAACTGCATCCCTTTGTAATTATCATCACAACACTTGGGATATCAACAGTTTGGGTTTCCAATAACTAACACATTACGGAGAGATAGACCATGGCAGGCTTTGTGCATTTGACAGCAGTTTGTTTCTGGTGGCTTCTGCAGTTATCCCTGAAATATCGCTAATCATTCTCCTATCTGTGCAGTTAGAGATGGAAACTAGCTACATGACTGCTAGAGGAGCACACTGTAAAGGTAATAAGTTTTAGTCACAATTACATCAAAGATGTGCATAAAAAGAAGTGACACATAATCTGGATAGTAAGCATTAAGATCTTTTTATCTTGCCATGAACTTTCGCAAGTAAATTACCTTTGTCACCTACAAAATCTTATATTGCATATAACTTAACATCTTGTATTTGTCCTTTATTAGGAAGAACAGATTTCTACCAATTCAGACTTGATCGGATGCTGACGTGGTACTGTTGCCACATTAGGCTAAAAGTCTACCTTCCTAAAGTTATCAGCTGGTTACAGTATTTCAAAATGTCCCCATTCATCTTTGGTAACCCTAACGTAAGCATTGTCATCCTTGCTATGGAATTAAACTTGAACGTGACAAAGTTGACCACGCATGATTGAATGGTTTTACTACTTAATTCAAAATTAACCTAACCGGTTAGGCTTAAACTTGGCTTTTGCTATTCCAAACACAACAATCAAACATAGACACCTTCCAAAAGAACTTTACGGAAGTTGTGATAGCACAGAAATACAGCCAA